CTGCTCTTCCGGAGGTTCTGAGTTCAATTCCCAGCAACCGGTGGCTCACAGTCATCTATAATGTGACTGATGCCTTCTTCTGGCATGTGGGTGTGCAGGCAAAGAAAGCACTCATATACATAAAATAAATAAATAAACCTTAAAATAAAAAAAAAAAAGAAAAAGAAAGAAAACAGGCGACTACTTAGAAGCAAGAAGAATGTTTCTGGGAGCAGTGGCCAGGAAGGGAGGAAGTGAGCGGGTTTACTCCCTTGTCAAAGTAGAAGCGGGACCCTCAGAGAAAGGACCAACTTCTCTCCATTCAGAGAGGAGCCCAGACACCACCCACACTTAGGCAACTTTAGGACAGCAGCTGAGGGCGAGATGAAGGCGCCAAAGGCTCGGCCAGAGAAAAGGTGGGTAGGAGTTAGGAACCAGGCCCTCTAGGTGACATCACCATAGGGCATCATGGGCTGAGGACTCTGTAGACAAGGGTATCAAGAGAACATAAAGCCACTCAACACATCCCTGGTCTCCTCCGAGTTCTGGGAGCTGGCAGAGCTGGCCACCCAAGCACACCTCTTCAGCTTAAGCATGAGGCTACATATACCAAAGAACATGCCGAAGAGATTGCATTAGTCGGGTCTTCTGAAGCTGGCTTGCACTCGCTGGGCCTGGCCAGGCTTACAACTCATCACTTTGCTGGGCCTCTGTGGGTCTGACATACTGTTGGTGGACATAGCAAACTGAAGAGGACGCTGCTCCTCTCTCACTATGTAGTGCCTCTTTATTTTTACCAAGAGGTTTTTTAACCACTTAGTGGGAGGGGAAAAAAATTCATGTTAAAGGTTATTTGCAGGCATTCAGCCATAAGGTTACAGTTCTCTACAATAGATATTACGTAGATTGAAATTCAGTCTCTCTCCCCCCCCCCTTTTTTTTTTTTTTTTTTTTTTTTGGTGCGGCTGATTAAATTACTGAACACTCACCACAGATCAGACACAGGACACATTCTAAGCTCTCCATTACTTGAGTTCTAGGGACAATCAGAAGAAGCCAGGAGCACCATTAACCAGAAACCAGGAACATCATTAGGAACCTTCCCAGTGCTGTCTCTACTTTAACAAGTTTGAAGGAAAGAGTGTAAGGAGCTAAGTGGGCTGAATCAGGCCTGTCAAATCACAGCTTGGCTCCATAGTCATCGTTCTTCGATTTCTAAAAAAATATTTTTCAACATTTTACTTCTCACTTTTATGTGTGTGTGGTGTTTCGCCTGCATGTATGTCTCTGTACCACATTCATGCAGTGCCCACAGAGGCCAGAAGACAGCGTCTGATCCCCTGAGACTGGAGTCACAGAAGGTTATGAGTGCCTATGTGGGTGTTGGGAATAGAACCTTGGTCTTCCGGATAAACAGCCAGTGCTCTTGACTACTGATCCATCTCTCCATCCCTTTGTTAACTATTCTTAGTTATCTGTAAACTGTAAGCAAAAAAATGCTTCCATCTGGTGTATACAGATTATTTGTTTATTGTGATAATTAAGTTAAGCAACACATCTTATAACTGAAAGGTAAAAAAACACCGCTGTAATATTTGGAACTTCAGGCCTGTCTGAGGCTATATAACTCTACATCATCATTTATTTTTGTTACTTGTCAAATTTAGGGTGTGTGAGGTTAAGTAAAGACTTTATTTTTTGAAATGTGAATTTCCTTAAAAGGTGACATTACAATAACAAAATAAAAAATAAAAATATTAAGAAAAAAGAAAACAATGCAGTATGAGGCATTCACTGTGGCTTTTCTGATATTTCAGAATATCAGCTGAGAGTGAAAAACATTCTCTGAGTGGAGAGATGAGCCAGGGCATGGGAATCACTGCCTGATGTAGAGTCACAGTGCTTTGGCCATGCCATACTACTGTGTCTTGGATGTACTTTTACTATTGCCCAGGTCTAATGAGGCAGAAATATACCCACACATCCAGTTACACAAGTCGCTTTTATTACAGGTAGGCAAGAGGCAACAGAAGAAGTCTAGGACTCATGATGTCTATCCCAAAAGCTGTCCAGAGAGGATAGAATTTCACTTTCACTGCAGATGAGGCACTGCAGAAGGTGGCCTGTGCTGGATTTTATAACCTGTCCCACTTGCTAGGTTATATAGTACTGAAGGACATCATTTCTAGGGGACTATTAGAACAGAAAGCCAAGTGTTGAGGCCTCAGTATCTCAAGATAATGTAACCAAACACATCTACAGTTATTTCTTAGAACTCTAGGGAAGAGGGAGAACTATGCCAGTGCAAAGTTACACAGAGAGCTGTCCTGCATAAGACAACTTCATCTCTTGTCTACTGAGAGGCACAAAAGTAGAACAGTGGTCCTCCTCTGCTGCGGGGTATTTGCTCACACTGGGAACCTGGAAGATGATAGTCTGGAAAAACCCGTTTCTAGTTGTGCTGTAGTTCAGCCCTAGCATACACCTTTATTCCAAAAACTTTGTTTAGTATAAACAGGTAGTTGTGGTATGGCTCAGCCCTGGTACACAACTTTAATTCAAGAGCTTTCTGTAAACAGGATTAAATAAAGTCAACCATCAGTCAAGAGGCAGAGCAATCAACCAGTTGACAGGGAGGGAACACAAGGAAAAATAACCATAGATAGTGAGAGGTCTGGAGGACAGAGGGAGAAACACATAGCAAGTAGAAAGGAGGGACATTCAGTTTGAAGGGTTTTTAAAGACATCATGGAGAAGTAGAAAGAGCTTTCTCCTGCTAGGATGTCCACTGAGTAGGGAAGTCAGCTGAGTGTTTTCTCTGACTCTCTGAGCTTGTAGGCTTTCACCCCAGCATCTGGCTCCTGAGTCTTTATTAGTAAAATCAGACATTTGGGATTTTGTTTAAAAACAACACTCTGCCACTCTATCCCTGTAGGAGGCTGACCATCCCTAATATGGAGGAGTCTTCAACTGGCTTCTGCTATTTTAGGAGGAAAACAGTTGCCAAGAGGTGAAGGATCCACACATCAGAGGGTGATGTCAGATGGAGACATAATGAGGATCCTCTTGCTTGAGTTTGTAATCCAGGGCAATAGAGCTCCCATGCTGTGACAGATCTGAGAACTGGCCAACAGGATATAAGATCGATGGCTTTAATCTTGCTGCAGTAGCAAGCACAGGGGGCAAAGAACGAAGTACATCAGAGGAACATGAAGGGTGTTCAGGCTCAGTGAGAAATCGGAGATCATCTGGGCAGAAGAACATTAAGTGGCAGCCAGTTCACAAGACCACCTCTTGCTTTCCTCTCCCCCACTTCTTTACTCTCAGAAGAGCTGTGCCTAGCCAACTGAGAGGGAGGGAAGTGTGCAGGGTATGCCTCAGACCTAGCTGGCACTTCCTCAGGTGGAGCTGCCAAACTCAGGAAAAACTTACAGATGGAGCTGAGATTCAAGTTTTAAACTAAAGCAAATCTTACTAACAGAAATGAAACCAATTGAAAAAGGTGACGATGTTTCCCAATGGGAATGGAGGGGTATACAGAACATAAACTGGCTCTATTACGCAGATTCAACCATGTATGTCTATATATTTGTGTGAAAATGTAATACATACATATGCTATAGGTACACAAGGTAAGCCTAGAGAAATGGGTTGGGATCTGAATAACACCAAGCTGGGAAATGGGAATTCAGAAGGAAGAACCTAGGCAAAAGAGGCAATAATTGCCCAGAACTGCTACAAGGGAAGCTCAGAGCATCCTGGAGGATTAGTTTAAGTGACGACTAGAACTTAGGCCTCTAAAATAACAGAGCTGGAGGTCACTTTACATTAGGTGGTCCTGATGCCTGAGCTCAGGCATCGTTCCCATTTCCCATCCACTGACAACCTAACTGGAGGTCGAAATTAGTTTAGTGAATAAAGCGCCTGGGCCATCAGGCGGCAGGCCGCCTTTTACGTACAAGCTGTGGCCAGCCAGTAAGGATTCCGTAATTAAGCTTTTCTGAGACACTTCTCCCCGACCTTGGCTGTTAGATTATTGAAACAAAACGGACCGCACAAAATTGGAATTTCCATAAGGGTCTCATGTTGAGAGAAGCAAAAGGCTGGAACTTGGAGCCAGAAGGGGCCTTGTCTCTGTAGGGGGGGAAAAGGGAGAAGACTTCACACAACTTGCTAAACTCTTTTTTGGACTGGGTCTGCTGTGATGGATGGGTGGTACACCACCTTGACCAGGATTGTTTAGCTACACGTATCTCTTGTTTTCTAGCTGGGATGAAACTTCATTTCAGGGCCAAGAAGATAAACACCACATGCATAAGTTCTCGTGTATATGGACTCTGATCTTCTCTTTTCAGTGTGGCTGCATTGAACCAGGTTCCATTTTTTCTGCCCTTCACTGTCTGCTGTTTCATTGTGTATTGAGGATGGGCCACCGGCAGAGCTTAATCTGTTAGGGATGCTAGGACCTGCTTCTGTCCTAGCAATAATGCTATGGCAGTTCTGCTTCCGGGTCCTATACTGAAGGGCCTCATTCCCACTCTGGGAGGTTTTGTTCTGGTCGGAAGATTGGACAAAAACCTGGGATGAGACCTCTCCAAGAACACCCTAGACTTTGGGAACATTTTCTATTTGGGGACCTTGGTTGATTTCCAGCATTTTCACATGCTTGACGAGGTGGATTCTCTCTCTGTAATTTCCAGTTGGGAAACAGTTTGTCATGACCGTGAGAGGAGATGGGCAACAAGGGATGCCTAGGTCATCAGGTCCGAGGAACAGCCCAACCCTCTAGCACTCCTTGGACATCCCAACCAGAGAGAGAGCCCAGAGTCGTCGGCGCGTCGCCCTCCTCACCCCGAGGGGGCGCCAGCGTCCCGGAGCCCGCCTCATTCTCAAGCAAGCCCTCTCCAGCTGCGCCGCCGCGGTTCCAGCCTCGACTCCCGGCCGCGTCAGAGTTCCCCGGCAGCCAATCAGAACTGTCCATGTACTAACGGGGGCGGGGCTGCCGAGGGCGGAGGAAGATGGCGGCGGGGGCCAGCTGAGGTGTTGGCGCTGGCGAGGGGCTCGGGCGCGGGGGGTGGGGGGACGCGGGGCGATGGCCCGCGCCGGCCGCCGGGGAGGATAAGACGCCGTCGCGCCGCGGGTGTGGGCCGGAGGGAGGAGACGGTGCCCGAGCGCCCCAGGAGTATGACGTGGCCGTACGAGCTGGTGTGGCGGGTGCTGCACGCGCTGCCCTGCCTGCACCGCACGCTCGCCTCCTGGCACCGCACGCTCGCCTCCTGGCTCCGCGTTCGCTTCGGCACCTGGAACTGGATCTGGAGGCGCTGCTGCCGCGCCGCCTCCGCCGCGGTCCTAGCGCCGCTCGGCTTCACGCTCCGCAAGCTCCTGGCCGTCGGCAGGAACCGGCGTCATCACCGGCACCCGCACGGGGGACCCGGACCGGCCGCCGCCCACCCCCGGCTGCGCTGGCGCGCGGACGGCCGGTCCTTGCAGAAGCTGCCGGTGCACATGGGCCTGGTGATCACCGAGGAGGAGCAGGAGCCCAGCTTCTCGGACATCGCGAGCCTCGTGGTGTGGTGTATGGCCGTGGGGATCTCCTACATTAGCGTCTACGACCACCAAGGTGAGGCCGGGTGGGAGATGGGGTGCCAGGGGCGCGTCCGGGTCTGGCCGGTTTGCCTCTGGTGGCCGTGCGAGGCCGCCGCCCTCCAGGCCCTGCGAGTTTCCGTGGCCCTCGGCCCTTAGGTATAAATCACGGTGCTGGCGCTTTCGAGGAAGGGAGATCAGTTTGATTGAACTTTGGGTAAATCTTTGATTTTGGTTAAGTGTATTTTTAACGTCTGAAAATACTATAGTCCGTTATGTAGATGGTTATCTATTTGGCTTTGTTTCACAAAAGAGGGAGCTGATGTTCAAAACATTAACTGTTTTGCCCAAGGTCACAAAAGTAGGAACGGGGAAATAATTATAACCAGTCTGTGTGCTCTTCAAAGTGTCACTTCAAAGGGGTTCAATGCACTCATCTTAAGTGAGACCAGGCAGTGGAGAATTTATACATGAGCCGCATCGTAGGTTTTCCAAATGAGTTCTTGGAGTTTGGTGGCATTTGAGTTGGGTTCCTCAAAAGTATGTGAGAGTTTAGATAGGCCCGGAGCAACATGGGGCACCCCTGTCCCTGAAGCCTGGAATCACATGTCATCATTTTTCCTCAGCGGCCAGTACAGTACTTAAGGGGTTGTCTTTCTGGACGTTCTAATCGAGGCAACGAATGTCACCAGAGTTTTGTTAAGTACAAAACTACTGCATGGAGACAGGCCTAAAGCACTATGCCAAATAGATCCCTTGGAATCTTGTCTTGGTCTCATGTGCTTTCTCTCAGGCTGGTGGGGAGGAAGGCCCACACTCACAGTGGTGATGGATGACATTTGGGGAGTATAGTTACTTCTAGAAAGGAGGGAAATTCGGAAGAGAGGAACTTGAGAGTTGGTGTAAAGGAGATGAAATTTGAGTAGGGCATTGAAGAGCAGGAGCGAGGTAGAGTGGAGGCTTCTAAATGTCAGGCTTGGATTTCGGTTAATCCTCAATGCATTGGTGTTTCCTTAAAGATAAAGATGTGGCGAGGAGGGGTTAGGAGGATTGGTATGCAGGAAAGAGAAATGACTGCTTTATCCCTGATTTGGTAAGTTCCCTGCGTGCTTCAGAGCAGCAATTTGAATTTTACCTTTAAATCTCCCTTAGCTGGATATTTAAGTGTAGGGTTGGTGAGTGTAAGTAGTTATCACTGACACCTCATCATCTTTCTTACAGCTAGCAAGGAGAGCCCATCCTGAAATGACGATTTGCCCTACAGGGTCAGAGACTGACAATACAGGACTTCCTGAAGGACTCAGGAGAACAGTAGAAGTCAAGGCGATGACAGCCTTCCCTGCCTGAGCCAGTGCAGTCAGTGGTGTGGGGTATACTAAGGCAGTAAAAAATGAAAGTTTAAGAGTTAAGTGATGTGGGTTGACTTACATCCAGTAGGAAGGAATAGATAACAGCTGATTTGTTTGACTAGACTGCCTCGGAAGCAGGATTACAATACAGTCACACTTCCTTGTTCCTGCTATTCCTGTTACAGAATTTCTGCTGTGACTCAAGTCCTGTGTCATATGCTCTTAGAGGGAAAATTATGGGCAATGAAAAGATGTCGACTTAAACCAAGTTTTGAGTGAGAACTGAATGGAGATTTAAGGAACAGTTTTTACTGAATAGACTTAAAGGATTTTGTGTGCTACTAGAAAAACATTTTTATGTGATAATTTCATAGTTTAAATAAGGGATCTTTAATTTACCTATCCTGGCTTTTGACTGATTCGTTATTCAGCAAGCCACAGTTGGGTATTTTTAAATGCCATACCTTTCCAGGCATGAGTATTCAGGAGCAAATGAAAACAAAAGCTAAGATTTTAGTAAAAGTCTGGCATCTAATATAAATGTGTTGGAAAGTATCTAGTTTTAGACACATAATGAGGAAAAATAAGGGAGGGGAGAGGAGATGATAGCTGAAAGGCAGTGATGTAGGAAGAGGTACACTGACCAAGGGACAAAGACTTGACTAGATAAAGATATTTAAACTTTATTTTATTTCCTTCAGTATGCTTCTATTTAAGCTTGTTTTTGTATACTTAGAGAAATTTGTATTTAGATATTTAGAAAAACATATACATCAATGCTGCATTCATACCTGCCTTGGTATAGCAGCCTGCGATATGAAGAAATAAGGGTAAGAAATGATGTAACATTCAAAGAAGGATGTCTACTATGAATTAATGCCACGCTGCTACATAAATCAGAAATGACATGTGAGCATGAAGGACTTTATTTAGGGAGAGGAAGGGGAAATTCCCCTAGAAGTGCTCTTAGCCTGGGTGGCTCTAGGAAAGAGGGAAGGTGACATGTGCATTGGAACTAGCAAAGGTAGATAGGGCTTGGGGCTTGAGCACTACCCTGTCCCTGTATGTGAATTGGAAATGCCAGCTGTTTGGTGGTTATAACAGATAAGTTTCTTAAACAGAGTGTTGGGAAATAAGGTAAGGTGAATGCTCGATAGCTGTTTTATATATACATTGTTTGGTAGAAATCTACCCCAAAGCTCAGTGTTTTAAGTAATTATGTGTTGACTGTACTATTGGGCAATTTTCCTTGGGGTCATTACATAGACTGTAGTCAGATAACTGGCGGGGACGTAAAGGTTGTCATTATGTGTCATCTATTTTATGCCTGTGTCATTATGTGTCATCTATTTTATGCCTGGTTTGTAATGGCTGCAATAGGAGAGAGATGGCCGCCTGTCTTCATATGGTTCCCACATGGCTACTGTAGGCTTCCTTATGTAATAGAGGCCTCAAAATGATCAGGTTACCTTCAGATCACGTGTTCCCAGAATCAGACCAAAGCTGTAAGGTGGCAGGACCTAGTTTAAGCAAGCAGTCACTCATCTATCTTGATGAAAAAAGTTGAGTTTACTTCTCAGTGGAAAAAAGGCTTGTGCCTCAAGTAACAGAGGAGTTGCTAGCAGCCATCGTGGAGACAAGCTTATTGATTTAATTTTCTCCTAGCCTACAGCTCTTCAAACTCCTATCTGTATTTAAGCACCATTCATTCTGATTATGATGGGTTATAGGTTGCTTTTAAATGTTAGACTAAATTATCTATTGATACTTACCTACTTTGCTTTGTGTCTTCCTGTGAGCTGATGACAAGGTCTTGGTAAGTTGGCCTTTAACTAAGGCTCTCTTGCCTCAGTCTTCTCTAGTGCTGAGATTACAGGCATGTGTCCAAACGTGGCTTGTTTTGGTTTTGAAATTTCTTTTGAATTGAGTTCTTATGCTGCCCAAATACCTGGACTCGTGTGATTATACTGCTCTACCTTCCTAAAGCTGGAACTGTTCACCTCATCTAGCCTGGTTTAAAAACAAACAGCAGCAGCAGCAACAGCAAACACGTTTAAAAGAGATAGAACTATATCCATTTTTTTTCTTTTTTTGGTGGTGGTGGTTCTGGGAATCAAACTCTGGGCTGAGCTACTCAGTTAAGCCTTACTTTTTCATTATACTTGCAGACTTTTTTGATTATGTTAATTTCTGCTGTATTCATTCGTTGGAAATTGAAGTTTACTTAAGAGATTGGTCAGGAATTTTTGAGCTCAGTTCTCGTAAGGATAATTGACTATTTTTGTCTACATGGTTATGACTTAGGAAATGATTAGGACAGGAACTGTGTTTAAAAAAACTGTTTCTTAAGTGTATTTGGTGTTCCAGCCTTAGGGTTGTTATGCCTTCTTGTGTTCACTTGAAGTGCACAGTGCTCCAAATTGTTTGGATGGGTACCTGTTCTTACTGCCAGGTTGTGTTGGTACCATGCTTACTGTAGGGCTGCTTAGAAGCATTTTAGAATGAGTCCTTGAATGTTTATAGGAAATACTGATTCATCACACTTACTGATCAGCTGAATTGAGGTAGTCCGACCCAGGCATCTCTATTTTTATCAAACTACTTATGTGGTGTTTCTGCACAGTGGAGTTTGACCTTAACACAGAACAAAAGGTGCTCTGCCACTTGCCTTATGTAACAGTTTCATGGGCAGGATGGAGATGTAGCTTAGTGGATGTGATACAGAGACCCTGCACACATCCACCACACTCGCCTCCTCTTTCTCACTGCTGTTTATGCCTGAGGATAACTTGGGAGTAGTCTTACTTATAAAATGAAGTGAGTCAGCAGGGCATTATTTTCTGTATGAGATTTAGCAACAGGATAGCAAAAAATATTTTGTTCTTTCTGCATTTATCTCTTTACTTGTAAATCTCTCCTGTGCAGTAGTTTTTGGTTAATTTTTCTCTCACTAGCCCTGAAGGGATTGCCCAGTGCTGCCCCAGACTTCACACCCTCGTTCTCACCGATCTCTGTCCCTCATATTACACCCACCTTTAGGTTACTTGCTATCGCCTCCTCCTGGAGTGCTCACTTTCTTCTTTGCAAATGGCTGTATCCCTCGGATCCTTGTGAGCCCACCCCTTCATTTCCCGTTACTGTCTCTTGCCTCTTGGTAGTCAGTCTTGTGTCTGTCTTACTTTGTTCCTGGATCTACTTAGAATGTTGGGTACCTCTAAGGGTACTTGTATTTTCTTAGTGTGTATCTGCACTTCAAGCTACACAGGTATCTCTTTCCCTTTTCGCTCCTCTTAGGGCGTGTTGGGCAGAGCACATTCTCTGACTCTAGAGAGAGCTATGCCTCCCACACACAAGTGTGAGGAACTGAGGTGCAGCCAGAACCCTTCAGAAAAGTAAATTCGTCTGTTTTACTTTGGCCTATGACATAGATACTAGCAGAAGGTATAATAACTCTTGATTTTTCAAGACAGGGTTTCTCTGTGTAGCCTTGGCTATCCTGGAGCTCATTCTGTAAATCAGGCCTCACAGAAATCCACCTGCCTCTGCATCCTGAGTGTTGGGATTAAAGGTGTGCGCCACCATGCCCTGCTGGAGGTATAACTCTCACTATGATTGTTCTCCTTGTGTTGAGTTATAGAGATGCCAGACATACTGAAAGTCCGGTTATATTCATGATTGTATTTGATAC